TCAATTCTTACACTAGTTTCTTTTTTTTTTAATGCCTTTTAATTTTTAAAAATCTCTCAAGTTAATATTGGTTATCGGGTAACATAATCTCCCTCAGAGATATTGGAGTTCAATAACGTTGAACATTTATGCAATGTGAAAGTTTAAACACTGCATAAACTATAGGCCTACAGTTCTTGTGTGTAATGAATTGCATGTTTTAAATAACAGCAAGGCATGCTACATGTAGTTTTAATTGTGAAATATACATTATAACCCAGTACACAGTAAAATAATACTCTTTGAATGGCTTGCTCATTGGCGGAGTATATAACCATTAAGTTTAAATAGGCTGAGCATATTTTTATTAATATTAAAACATTAAACAAACTAGTCACCCTTTTATTTTATTTTTTTGTGTCTGTATATTTTTTATCAAACGAAAAATGCAATGAATTGTTTATTTTGGTTTTCATTTTATTAGAATTGATATAATTATCAGGCTATACAGCTTCTACATAATATTGCTCTGATTGCGTTTTCACAGAAATTCTACAGATAGACTTTTTGGCTCAAAGACGATGGATGGATGGATATATGGATGGATATATGGATGGATGGAAAATAGATTCCAAGATAATGGGGGTGGTGGTGGGCTTAGATAGTCACCTAGATGTCTTGTCTGTGGCAGGTGTTTCCTGGATGGATGAATGGATGGATGGATGGATGGATGGATAGATGGATGGATGAAAAATAGATGTCCTTCCAAGAGGAAGGGGGTGGTGGTGGGCTTAGATAAATAGCTAATGTCTTGTCTGTGGCAGGTGTTTCCTGGATGGATGGATAAAAAAATTAGATGTCCTTCCAAGAGGAAGGGGGTGGTGGTGGGCTTAGATCGTTAGCTAGATGTCCTGTCTGTGGAAGTGGCAGGTGTTTCCTGGATGGATGAATGGATGGATGAAAAATAGTAGGGATGCATCGATAACAGTATCAGGTATTGGGTCGATATTTGCTTAAAATTCTTGTATCGGACATAAAAGGCGGATACCAAGCACCGATACTACTCAACATTAATTCACTACATGGATGTGATTTGTTGTCCTACCAGACCACAATGTCTTAATTTATAAATTAGCCTAATGTGTTATATATTAATAGCTTAGTCCTTATTAACAATCTGTTTATAAAATACATTATTAACAAATATATAGGCTACTGAAGAATAAACCGAATATGTATGATCATTGCATAATGATCACAGCTGAACAAGCTAGCACTCCTTTTATCAATAAACTATAAATTAAAAATGAAAGAAATTTTAAGTAATGGAACATTATGTAAAAATCTAAAGACTACAGGCTAAATAAAAGCTTCTTGTCAGAGCTGTACATCACTGCCGCCACCGCACGCGTGTCAGTTGACAGCTTCTGTAAAGATCAGACAGCCTGTACAGATTACATAATCTCAATAAACACCATGTAAATGTATAAATAATTTGATAAGTATCGTTGATGGAATATTTATAACGATATAATCTTGCTTTTGGTTATATGCCAGCTTTGAGCTCTTTACGCGCTCTCGCCTCTCTTAGTTCAGTTTAGTTCAGGTCGCTTTATTGGCATGACATTTAATACAGTAATGCCAAAGCATCTCTCTCTCTCTCTCTCTCTCTTTCTCTCTCTCTCTCACCAGCCGGCAGTTGACATGCGCTGCATAAGGGCGCTATACACACACTACACCGCATACACTGGCAAGATGACAGGTGCTGAACTCCACGGGACAAGTTTTATTAGTTGCTTGTTCCTTTTTTTTAAATGCCTTTTAATTTTTTTTTAAATCTCTCAAGTTAATATTGGTTATCAGGTAACATAATCTCCCTCAGAGATTTTGAAGTTCAATAACATGGTGCGCAGTAACCAACACTGTAAGTTTACACACTGCATAGTCTATAGGCCTACAGTTCTGGTGTGTAATGAATTGCATGTTTTAAGTGACAGCAAGGCATGCTACATTTAGTTTTTATTGTGAAATATACATTGTAACCCAGTACACAGTAAAATAATATTTTTTCAATGGCTTGCCCATTGGCGGTGTATATAACTGTTAAGTTTAAATAGGCTGAGCATATTTTTATTAATATTAAAACACATTAAACAAACTAGTCACCCTTTTATTTTATTTTTTTTCGTGTCTGTATATTTTTTATCAAACAAAGAATGCAATGAATTGTTTATTTTGGTTTTCATTTTAATATAATTGATATAACTATCAGGCTATACAGCTTCTACATAATATTGCTCTGATTGCGTTTTGACAGATATCCTACAGTTAGACTTTTTGGCTCAAAGACATTTATGCCTGTTAATTTCAGTGCTGTGTTTTGACAGATTTCGCAAAGTCTTCAGCTATTCTAAGTGTCAGCTGATGCCAGCCGCAGTTTTGCCACTTGACTTGAGGGACGTATGCATGATGTCTGGATGACAGCGAAAGCGAGATGAGATCAGACTTCAGATTCGATGTGTGGCTGCACGTCACATTACTTTACTGCAATTTTTGAATAATGGCTCATCTAAATTTAATTTTCATTTGTTTAAAAGCCAAAATATTGCCAGACAGAGGAGGAAACTTTCGGTTTTAGAAGAGAGCAGCTTCAGTGATAAAAGACACACACACACACACACACACACACACACACACACACACACACACACACACACACACACACAGGATACACTCTTGTAGGCTTATTCATTATTACCCTTTTAACATTAAACGCATAATAATGAAGTGCAAAAAAGAAAAGCTGAACTTTGGAAAAACTTTTAACTGCAGTTGCCGTGATGGTTGCTTGTTTCTCTGCAGTTAGCTTGTCAGTGCTAAATCACTTTTGTTTTAACAAAAAATAAGATTTTTTATCATTAAACATTGTGAGATGATCGTCGCGTGATTTTTAAAATAAGAGTATGCGTTATGTATTTATGGCTATTAATTTTATCTACCCGCTACCCATCCATAATTAAACATCAAGTAGCTGACAATTTGATTACCTGACCAGCGGATTAACGGCAGGATTCGTGAATATGAAAGAATTGCGCATAACAGGGTTTTATGCGTCCCCAATATGCAATGAGAAAGAGAGTGACTCCATAAGTTAACTTACACTGCGCACACTTTGTGTAATGTGTAAAGTCGTGGACGCATGCAAGCGCAAGGATAATTAGTCCTTTAAATGTCCATACTTAATCATTATAAGATAAAGTCTGTATTCGCAGGGTTTTCAACAATGGGTGTATATTTTTGGCTTGGAACAGCCTTTTGTTAAAAGATTTTTTTGTTTATCCTTGCTACAAGCAAAAAAAAAAAAGTGGAAAGGGGTGGTGGTGGGCTTAGATAGAAAGCTAGATGTCTTGTCTGTGGCAAGTGTTTCCTGGATGGATGGATGGATGGATGGATGGATAGAAAATAGATGTCCTTCCAAAAGGAAGGGGGTTCTGGTGGGCTTAGATAGATAGCTAGATGTCTTGTCTGTGGCAGGTGACTCCTGGATGGATGGATAGATGGATGGAAAATAGATGTCATTCCAAGAGGATAGGGGTGGTGGTGGGCTTAGATAGTTAGCTAGATGTCCTGTCTGTGGCAGGTGTTTACTGCATGCATGGATGGAAAATACATATCCTTCCAAGAGGAAGGGGGTGGTGGTGGGCTTGGATAGTTAGCTAGATGTCTTGTCTGTGGCAGGTGTTTCCTGGATGGATGGAGGGATGGATGGAAAATAGATGTCCATTTAAGAGGAAGGGGGTTCTGGTGGGCTTAGATAGTTGGCTAGATGTCTTGTCTATGGCAGGTGTTTCCTGGATAGATGGATGGATGGATGAATGGAAAATAGATGTCCTTCCAAGAAGAAAACGGTGGTGGTGGGCTTAGATATATAGCTAGATGTCTTGTCTGTGGCAGGTGTTTCCTGGATGGATGGATGGATGGATGGAAAATAGATGTCCTTCCAAGATAAAGGAAGTGGTGGTGGTGGGCTTAGATAGTTAGCGAGATGTCTGTGGCAGGTGTTTCCTGGATGGATGGGTGGATGGATGGAAAATAGATGTCCTTCCAAGAGGAAGGGGGTGGTGGTGGGATTAGATAATTAGATGTCTTGTCTGTGGAAGGTGTTTCCTGGATGGATGGAGGGAAAGGTGGATGGATAAAAAATAGATGTCCATTCAAGATGAAGGGGTGGTGGTGGGCTTAGATAGTTAGCTAGACGTCTTGTCTGTGGCAGGTGTTTCCTGCACTCTAAAAAATAACTCAAGCGATCTGTTACCACTACAGAGTTTAATACATTGTTGTAACTTAAAAATTCTATATTGCTGATTATATCAAAACTTTTAAATTGCCAGAGTAATTTTATTAAGTTTACACAACAGGAAAATATTGATAATTACATCAACTTAAAAAAGAGGGTAATTTAAAGATAAATATATCTGTCAATTAGTTTAAAACAATATTAAACTTATAACAACCCAAAAAAATTGCCTTGATAACTCAATTTTTCCACACCAATGGAGTTCTGGATTTCAAAGCTCCTCCCTCACTGAACGATCAAGAGGCATGTTCGGACAAGTTTTAAGCAGACCATTTGGCACAAAGGATACTTTAAGGTGAGATCTGGGTTTTATTTCATTTCCAAATCAATATTCTACATTCCATTAGTGTTGGCTACTCCTGGTAAATTATAGTTGATGTTGGCAGTGTTTTTTGACTAGAAAATAGTAGATAAGAAAGTAAAAACACATACGGTAAGCCAGAAAGGCAATTTAGTATATATGTCAAAATAACATGAAGTTTATATAGTAGGTGCTTTTTTCATATATAGTATTGCTTTATCCTGCATGTTTTATGTTAGTTACCCTAGCAGAAATATATATTCTGGAGCTTGCTCACAGTTGTTATCCAACCTGAAATTTGTATTTTATTCCTCCTGTTCTTATGGAAAATATTACATTTATCTACTGATTGCAAAGATTTTCATACAAAGTTCATGCAACTGTATTACAACTTTCTAGGCTGATCTGTATTTTAGATATAAGTAGGCTTGTATATAAAATAGATTGGGGGTGCAAAATGTGTAAATTTGAAACATCAACATAAATAGTTTTGCTAAAACATTACAGACTACACCATGGTAATTGTGGGCAACCATTTCCATGCCTCTGTCAAGATTGTTTGTGTTTTTTCAGAACATGGGGCAGCCTTAGATCACATTTATCAAGACATCAAACTTAGAAAACCTCCAAATTTGCAGAAAGTTTTTATTTTATTTGTCCTTGTTGCAATGCCATGACAATTTCCATAGAAAAAAAAAAAAAACACGAAACTGTCATCTGTGTATTTCAGAACTGCAATTTCAGAACTAACATTTATGGTACATTTGCTTCCCACAGAAGCCGAAAACATACTCCTCACTCATTGCATGACTTCAAGGCAGACATAATAAAAAGGTATGTATGTTCATTCAATGCAGATCAACACAGTGATGTGGAAGGTCAAAGTGGGGAGCTGTCTGATGAAGGTCAAGATGACAATAATGATGTGACAGACCTGCCAAACTGCATAGAAAAAAAATGGCTTTGTTGTTTCTAAAACTGGAGAGCACTTTTAATGTATCTTACAGGTGTATAGAAGAGGTTGTTAAGGAGTTCAATTTTATATCTTGATCAGCATCTGGACCCATCATCAAAGGTATTTTACAGTCCTGCTTGGGTTGTAAAGCCCATCTTACAGTCCACAAATCTGTCTAATGTAAACCTTTTGCATGAAGTAACAAAAATAAACATTTTCAAGTTGTTGCAGATAAAATGGGCAAGAAATAAGGGATATCTTGGAGCGCTGGCCTGCATTATCAGGTGCAACAGAGGTAAGTTTAGTTTTATTTTTAGTCTAGTTTCACAATTTTGCGAGAAAATCACCTTCAAGTTATTTATGCTAAAAACTTCTTACAACAATAACATACTACATGTTATTTGTTGTGTTACACATTGTGTACAATTATTCCATTATTTATTTATTCTATTTTTTCTACAGATAAATGAAGAATTCAAGAGGATAACCACTGTAGGTCTTGAATCCACATTTATGGCCAAACTTGACAAACGCACCCAAAACTAATGGACCTGGCCTCATCCAGGGGAGGAGCTAAAGGGGAAAGAATCAGAAGGATTAAGGATATGCTTCTTGAGGTATTGTAAATAATTTGTACACACTGTAATAGTTTAGATTTGTGTTAAATTGTCAGGTTGCCATCAGTTTTTTTTTTAGATAAAACTATATTAATTTACTGTAGGTACTTTATCTTGATATATATTTTTCTAATTAAACAGAACAATGCAGTTGAAGTATGGAGAGAAGTAGCCATTCACTGTCTTGTTGTCTATCTTGGAGAGAAAGAAGAGGATCTTTTTAAGGAGTTTGCTGTGAGTATTACAATGTTTAAAATTAAAATTAAATCTTCCCTTGACAGTGGAAACATACAAGACAAAATATATGCTCAATGACTGCTCTCTTTTAGTTTAATGTGTAGGTACATGTATATTACATTGTCCACACACACTGGTTTTACCTAGCTCTGTGTTATAATAACAATGTACTATTTAGTTCAATAAACAGATGTTGACAATAATGAGAAAGATTTGTAAAATGGGTATGACTGTTGCGTTTCACTTTTCCATTTAAATTACATTGTGAAACGAATTATTCTTATGATTGAGTAGCTGGGTGCATGACCATGTAAGGGGTAAAATAAAACAAAGTTTCCAGAGATTAACTGAAATCAAATGTAAGTAAAATAAAAAACTGAAGTAATTATAAATTTAATTATCTCTATCAAGCTAATCTATTTTTTTTATCTTGCTTTACAAGAATACACAAGAATTATTGGTGATCTGTCAACTATGGAATTAAACCACAAGACGGGAACCATCATTGTTGAGAATCCTGATTGGAATGGATAACTCAAGGTGTTGTGCTCTGCTAACGGGCATAATATATGCTCTGAATCTGAGCTACCCCAAGGAGCTTAAATATACTTGTTAAGTGTTTCAGAAGCTGTTTCTTGAACTTGATGGACTGAAGCCCAGTGTAAAAGTAATGCGTCTCAAGAACAGCATTTTCTGAAGCCTCTACTTATTTCAAAGTACATTTTGCTCTTTATGTTGCAACTATATTGTTTTGTATTTTGAAGTCCACATGCTGATCTTTTTAATTTCATACTGTTTATATGAATGGTGGCATTTACATATGTTTGTTTATAATAATACAAATGTTACATGCTTTACAATTAAGGTTAGCTAATAACAAGTAGTTTGTAAAATGTAGAATTTATAAGTTAATAGTTAGCTTTAAGTGTATCAATGCCTATAACTCTTGTTTTGTTGGAATTCATTGTGATGGCATAGCTATGCATGCATGCACATTTTTGAAGGCAAAGCTGACGGGTCAGTTTGTTTATAATTTGTGAGACAGTACACATTTGTGTTTTGTAAACTTTGAGAAGTGCAATATTTAAATTAAAACACTGAAAACTGTGTTTCTAAATGAATAAAAAGTTACTGAAAGTAAAATTGCTGTTGTTTAAAAATGTATTTCTTACAAGCACCTAAATTAACAATAATATGAAAACAAACAAAAAATTTAATTTCAGCTACTTAATTTTTTTGAGATTCTAAACTTGAAAACTAGCATGTATAATTATGGTAATTAAGTACATAACACTGGTTTTTGTTTAAATGTTAATAAAAAAAGCTAGTTAGAACAACTTAATTTTTTAAGTACTCAACCTAAAAAATTGAGGTTAGGCTATGTAAAAATACCTCTGATTGAAGAGGTAAAGGTAATTTGGCTAACATAATAAAGTTTGCTGTCTGAACTTCATTTTGTTAGATGTTGCCGTAACTTGAAAATATTGATGCAAACTGTTGCGTTGATTTTTTTTGTTTGGTCTAAGCAATATTTTTTAGAGTGTGGATGAATAAATGGATGGATGGAAAATAGATGTCCCTCAAAGACGAAAAGGGTGGTGGTGGGCTTAGATGGAAAGCTAGATATCTTGTCTGTGGCAGGCGTTTCCTGGATGGATGGATGGATGGATGGATGTCCTTCCAAGAGGAAGGGGGCGGTGGTGGGTTTAGTTATCTGTCTGTGACAGATGTTTCTCCTGGATGGATGTATGGAAAATAGATGTCCTTCCAAGTGGACGGGGGTGGTGGTGGGCTTAGATAGATAGATGTCTTGTCTGTGGCTGGTGTTTCCTAAATAGATAAATGGATGGAGGGATGGATGGATGGAAAATAGATGTCCTTCCAAGATGAAAAGGGTGGTGGTGGGCTTAGATGGAAAGCTAGATGTCTTGTCTGTGGCAGGCGTTTCCTGGATGGATGGATGTATGGGTGGAAAATAGATGTCCTTCCAAGAGGAAGAGACTGGTGGTGGGCTTAGATAGTTAGCTAGATGTCCTGTCTATGGCTGGTGTTTCCTGGATGGATGGATGGATGGATGGAAAATAGATGTCCTTCCAATAGGAAGTGGGTGGTGGGCTTAGATAGTTAGATAGATGTCTTGTCTGTGGCAGATGTTTCCTAGATGGATGGATGGATGGATGGATGAAGAGGTAGGGGGTTTTGGTGGGCTTAGATAGTTAGCTAGATGTCTTGTCTGTGGCAGGTGTTTCCTGGATGGATGGATGGATGGAAAATAGATGTCCTTCCAAGTGGAAAGGGGTGGTGGTGGGCTTAGATAGTAAGATAGATGTCTTGTCTGTGGCTGGTGTTTCCTAAATAGATAAATGGATGGATGGATGGATGGATGGATGGAAAATAGATGTCCTTCCGAGACGAAAAGGGTGGTGGTGGGCTTAGATGGAAAGCTAGATGTCTTGTCTGTGGCAGATGTTTTCTGAATGGATGGATGGAAAATAGATGTTCTTCCAAGAGGAAGGGAGTGGTGGAAGGCTTAGATAGTTAGCTAGATGTCTTGTCTGTGGCAGGTTTTTCCTGGATAGATGGATGGATGGATGAACGAAAAATAGATATCCTTCCAAGAGGAAGGGGGTGGTGGTAGGCTTATAGTTAGCTAGATGTCTTGTGTGTGGCAGGTGTTTCCTGGATGAATGGATGGATGGAAAATACATGTCCTTCCAAGAGGAAGGGGGTTCTGGTGGGCTTAGATAGTTAGCTAGATGTCTTGTCTGTGGCAGGTGATTCCTGGATGAATGGATGGATGGAAAATACATGTCCTTCCAAGAGGAAGGGGGTGGTGGTGGGCTTGGATAGTTACAGTAGCTAGATGTCTTTCAGTGGCAGGTGTTTCCTGGATGGATGGATGGATGGGTGGATGGATGGAAAATAGATGTCCTTCCAAGAGGAAGGGGTGGTGGTGGGCTTAATTAGATAGATGTCTTGTCTGTGGAAGGTGTTTCCTGGATGGATGGAAGGAAAGATGAATGGATGAAAAATAGATGTCCATTCAAGATGAAGGGTTAGTGGTGGGCTTGGATAGTTAGCTAGATGTCTTGTCTGTGGCAGGTGTTTCCTGGATGGATAAATGGATGGATGGGAAATAGATGTCCCTCAAAGACGAAAAGGGTGGTGGTGGGCTTAGATGGAAAGCTAGATATCTTGTCTGTGGCAGGCGTTTCCTGGATGGATGGATGGATGTCCTTCCAAGAGGAAGGGGGCGGTGGTGGGTTTAGTTAGCTAGATGTCTTGTCTGTGACAGATGTTTCCTGGATGGATGTATGGGTGGAAAATAGATGTCGTTCCTAGAGGAAGAGACTGGTGGTGGGCTTAGATAGTTAGGTAGATGTCTTGTCTTTGGCAGGTGTTTCCTGAATGGATGGATGGAAAATAGATGTCCTTCCAAGTGGAAGGGGGTGGTGGTGGGCTTAGATAGATAGATGTCTTGTCTGTGGCTGGTGTTTCCTAGATAGATAAATGGATGGAGGGATGGATGGAAAATAGATGTCCTTCCAAGACGAAAACGGTGGTGGTGGGCTTAGATGGAAAGCTAGATGTCTTGTCTGTGGCAGGCGTTTCCTGGATGGATGGATGGATGTCCTTCCAAGAGGAAGGGGGCGGTGGTGGGTTTAGTTAGCTAGATGTCTTGTCTGTGACAGTTGTTTCCTGGATGGATGTATGGGTGGAAAATAGATGTCCTTACGAGAGGAAAAGACTGGTGGTGGGCTTAGATAGTTAGCTAGATGTCTTGTCTGTGGCTGATGTTTCCTGGATAGATGGATGGATGGAAAATATATGTCCTTCCAATAGGAAGTGGGTGGTGGGCTTAGATAGTTAGCTAGATGTCTTGTCTGTGGTAAGTGTTTCCTGGATGGATGGATGGAAACTAGATGTCCATCTAAGAGGAAAAGGGTGGTGGTGGGCCTAGATAGTTAGCTAGATGTCTTGTCTGTGGCAGGTGATTCCTGGATGAGTGGATGGATGGATGGATGGATAGATGGATGGAAAATATATGTCATTCCAAGAGGATAGGGGTGGTGGTGGGCTTAGATATTTAGCTAGATGTCTTGTCTGTGGCAGGTGTTTCCTGCATAGATAATTGGATAGATGGATGAAAAATAGATGTCCTTCCAGGAGGAAGGGGATGGTGGTGGGCTTGGATAGTTAGCTAGATGTCTTGTCTCTGGCAGGTGTTTCCAGGATGGATGGATGGATGGATAGATGGAAAATAGATGTCCTTCCAAGAGGAAAGGGCTGGTGGTGGGCTTAGATAGTTAGCTAGATGTCGTGTCTGTGGCTGGTGTTTCCTAGAGGAATGGATGGATGTGTGGATGGATGGAAAACAGATGTTCTTCCAAGAGGAAGGGGATGGTGGTGTGCTTAGATAGTTAGCTAGATGTCTTGTCTGTGGCAGGTGTTTCCTGGATGGATGAATGGATGGATGGATGGATGGATGGATGGATGGATGGATGGATGGATGGAAAATGGATGTCCATTCAAGACGAAGGGGGTTCTGGTGGGCTTACATAGTTAGCTAAATGCCTTGTCTGTGGCAGGTGTTTGCTGGATGGATGGAAAACAGATGTCCTTCCAATAGGAAGTGGGTGGTGGGCTTAGATAGTTAGCTAGATGTCTTGTCTGTGGCAGGTGTTTTCTGGATAGATGGATGGATGGATGGATGTCCTTCCAAGAGGAAGGGGACGGTGGTGGGTTTAGTTAGCTAGATGACTTGTCTGTGACAGGTGTTTCCTGGATGGATGTATGGGTGGAAAATAGATGTCCTTCCGAGAGGAAGAGACTGGTGGTTGGCTTAGATAGTTAGCTAGATGTCTTGTCTGTGGCTGGTGTTTCATGGATGGATGGATGGATGTATGGAAAATAGATGTCCTTCCAATAGGAAGTGGGTGGTGGGCTTAGATAGTTAGATAGATGTCTTGTCTGTGGCAGATGTTTCCTAGATGGATGGATGGATGAATAAATAGATGGATGGATGGAAAATAGATGTCCTTCCAAGAGGTAGGGGGTTCTGGTGGGCTTAGATAGTTAGCTAGATGTCTTTTCTGTGGCAGGTGTTTCCTGGATGGATGGATGGAAAATAGATGTTCTTCCAGGGGAAAAGGGGTGGTGGTGGGCTTAGATGGATAGCTAGATGTCTTGTCTGTGGCAAATGTTTCCTGGATGGATGGATGGATGGATGGATGGATAAAAACTAGATGTCCATCTAAGAGGAAAAAGGAGGTGGTGGGCCTAGATAGTTAGCTAGATGTCTTGTCTGTGGCAGGTGTTTCCTGGATGGATGGATGGAAAATAGATGTTCTTCCAAGGGAAAGGGGGTGGTGGTGGGCTTAGATAGATAGCTAGATGTCTTGTCTGTGGCAAGTGTTTTTTGGATGGATGGATGGAAACTAGATGTCCATCTAAGAGCATTTATCTTTAGACAGAAAATGGTTTAGGCATTAACACGCACATACTGTACACAGACTGTCTTATTCTAAACACAAATGTATTGTCCCTTTTAAGGTTCCCAGTTTATCTTGAACTGTGTGCTTGAAAGCTACATCATTAGCATTTCCTCACAACTTCTTACATTACATTCAAGTATATGCATTACTTGGCTAACTCATCTTTATTGGTTTTGCTATGATGCACAGATGCAAACAGTGCGATGTCCCTTTCTGGTAACTAAGCAGTTTTATACACATTAAAATCATTCAATTCTAATCTCCTCTGCACAGAAATCATCACAGGAAATCACAAAAGATGATACACACTGTATAGCCATCCACACGTAAACCTCCACTGTCAGGTCACAGGTTGTGAATTTGTTTAATCAGTTTATCAAAGCTGTATTTCCACTTGTGAATTCATATTAGGGACAATAGAAAAGTTTGTTGTCTTCAGATTTTTAAAGTAAATAAATAAAAAAGATATTTGGATCCTTGGTGTTATTGACTTTATTTTTGTTTTGTCAATTCTATTAAGACTGATGTGTGTGCTTTTGTTTTTTTGACAAACGTGTTTCTAACCATATCTAGAGTATGTGATTATTC